TTTATTTGTTTGGGTGGGGGGGCATTGCCAGGGTGCTTATGTGTGTCCAATGTTGAACTTTTGACATGAAAGGATATCCTTTAAGCTGTTGTGCTATTTCTCTATGCTGGAAGCTGGTTTTTGAATGCATAGCATAGAGAAAGTTTTATGTTACATTTTGGCTAGCAGTTGAAGCAAAAGGAAAATTGCTTTGACTTCGTAGTGCTGGAGAATAAATTTGACTAATGCGAGCTAACTTTAAGAAAAGAAGGTTGCATGCACGTATTAGCAATTGCAGTGGTGCATTTAGTTGGTTGTCAATCCAAACATTGAATAGATCATAGTTATGTATCCATCAACTGCTGTTATTTGGGCATTTCTCTGAAGTTAGCTAGCATTATTCGAAGATCTTTGCATGTCAGTTGACTCGTTTTTAAGTTGCATCGTATCTGAAGTTGTAATTCCTGGGTGATTCTCCGAGAGTTTGTTGTTTGGACAATTTTTTGGCAATCGATACTCCAATTGGTATGCAGCAAGTCCAGTTGATTACCTTGTTACATTTGTCAATTGTGCTCCACATCTGTGAATGTCCTACGCGATTGGAATCGAAGTTGAACAGAGGCACTGGATTGCAGCCTTCTGTAGTGTCAATATTCCAAGGGTCTTATTGGACACTGTCCATTTTTTGTCTTAAGTGATGATGTTCGTTATTTGCATGAGTACTGAATTATGGTTCCTGCAGTAAATATTTATACTTGATACGGCGTGTGATTGAATGCAAGTCTTTGAGACCCCTGAAGGCAACTTGTGCACAAGATGATCAATTGGACTACATTTTGGAACTAATTGTACAAGTCATCTTGTCAAAGTGATCTTTTGCGAGGTTTAGGCTTAATTGGACTACATTTTGGGGCCGAAAGGAATTCTGTAACTGTTGAATAACCTAATGTATAGGGTGAAGTGATTCTTTGAATCCTGCCAAAAGTTTAGGCACTTCCGGGGTTGAAACCTTATTATGTACCATATTCAAAGTAGTTTCGCATTGTAATGGAGCCTTTTTTTTCCTCTAATATTGGGTAGAGCCAAAATGTAAACGTATAAAAGATGAAGTGCATCGCCTTGGTCCTGGTATGACTTGTCTGATCCTTTTATTTTGGTTACAAATGACTATATATAAAAGCAATGGTAAGTATTCTATTCCTGTTGAGGATGTTTGCAACAAGTATTACTTAAATTTGTCTAATTACCTGCTTTGGGCCTTTTAACTGACATTTTGATTTCATTTCTGCAGTTGTAAAATTTTTATTCATGTTTTATGTGTGTGCAGGGGTTGGGCACCAGCTATTCAGAAGAATGCAGCAAATGGAGGTGGCTTTATTGAGAAGGTATCTTATCATTCTTTATGCGTGCAAACAGTTGGAAGAGTATTTCGTTTTCTGGTCATTGTCATAGTTGGACTTTGTCTTAATTTATTATTCAGTAAAAGGTGCATGTGATCGTGGTTCCATTTCTCGTAATTTTTTTTGCTCTTGTTTTCGGCCTTTGGGGGATGGTTGGACACAAGGATTTGCAGATTTTGTCAATTTGCGACAAAACTCTGTTTTGAAGGGTTTGAACATACTACAGTCCTAGTTTTGAAAACCTGCAGATTTTTGCCAAATTTACGACACTGCAGATTTGAAGGGTTTGAACATACAGCCATCCTAGTTTTGAAAACCTGCTGTAAAATTGTGTGTTGTCTGAAGAAAATCTAGTACATTGGTCTTGTCAAAATTGTATCTCTCCTGTTGAGTTGCCTAAATTTTTGTATAATGGTTTGACATGTTCACATGCAGAAACAGCAGCAGCAAGTGAAGATGGTCACCAAGCGGAGGTCTCAAACATTAGACTCGCGATTTGCAAACATGAAGGAGCAAAGGATGAGGGTCTTGTCTCAGCAGAATAATGGGCCGAGAAGAAATGGAGGCGGCCAGCCTATGGTGCCTTGGGCAAGAGGTCGTTTTGGCAATTGATACTTGCTCTGATCCAGATTTGGGGCCGACTTGACACTTAGGTTGCGCATGGAGAAATGCTTGTACTTAATTTTTTTTGTTCTCGTTTTGATGTTTAACTAGGATGGACCAAAATGCTGTACTTCAACAGTATTCTTATGATAATATCTTGCAGTTTGCGTATTACGTTTCATATTGAATGGCATTGCTCTGGTAACTCTCTCTATCTTATTCGATTCAGTTATAAATCTCTTTTATGTATTAGATTTGTTTGGGTGGATTCTGAGGATTAGATTTGGCCATTTCTATTTCATTAAACTCGAGCACAGTTGCTATACTTGGATCCTATAGATGTCTGAAATTAGTGTGAGTGTGTGATGGGAGTGTGAAAATGAAGACTTTCTTGAATTGCTTTGTGTGAATTTTGTCCATGCATTGGAGTCATCTATTCTTTGGCTTTTGTGTTATGGAACAGAAATTTATCCTTTGATGTAGCACAGAGCTAGGACGAGAAAAAATATTTGGAGAGAGAGTATATTCGAAAAACTACAAGGCCTAGTTTAAATTTTCCATGGAAAATGGATACTTTTTACTTGTTTGATTGCAAAAAATTTACCCGGAATTTGTTTTTCAGTCATTACACACGCGCTTCTTTTTCTTGCAATCAATGAATTTGTTTTCTGGTGGTTTTTGATTTTCTAGCTTTTGATTTATTTATTTTTTTGCCAATTGGAAAAAATTCTAGACACAACAGTAAAAAAATTTTATCATTTTTATTGATAATTTTCATGTAAAACAAAGTTAAACAAATGGTATTTGGTATGGTAATTTTTTTTTTTGACAATTGAAACAAATTTTAGACCGAATGGTAAAAAAACTTGTCACTTTAATTGACAATTTTCATAAAAACAAAATCAAACAGACACCAAACTTTTAACATTTTTCAGGTGGAAAATTATATCAATCAAACACAATTAATTACAATTCCAAGTAAAACAAATTCTAAACAATTCAATTCCCTATAATTCATTTTCTTTCCACCCAAATTCTACATTCGCAATCAAACGAACCCCAAATTCAGTAGAAATAGAGTAAAACTTAAAAAATGTTGCGGGCAATCGTCACTCGGCCTCAACCTTTATTGGTGCTCAAGATCAAAAAGACTTGTAATTATTGTGTATATAGTCTAGCCTTCAAATCTGTGCTTAAAACATTTATAACATTTTACTTGATGGGCTCAATTGGTCCTTTGAGTGATTTCCATTTAATTGATAGTTTAAAAATGTCAAACTTTTGATAGAAAGAAGCGTACTTACTTTAGTTAAGCCCATGTTTGAGTTATATTAAAATTTTTATTTTCATTTTTCTACTCATTTTCAACCACACATTTTTCAATAAAATAATATTTTTCATCACATCAATAATTTTTCCTTCTTTTTCAACTACACATTCTTCATCTAACTACTATTCCAAAATACATTTTTCCAAAAAACAGTTGCTATACTTGGATCCTATAAATGTCTGAAATTAGTGTGCGTGTGTGATGGGAGTGTGAAAATGAAGACTTTCTTGAATTTGCTTTATGTGACTTTTGTCCATGCATTGGAGTCGTCTATTCTTTGGCTTTTGTGTTATGGAACAGAAATTTATCCTTTGATGTAGCACAGAGCTAGGACGAGAAAAAATATTTGGAGAGATAGTATATTCGAAAAACTACGAGGCCTTGTTTAAATTTTCCAGGGAAAATGGATACTTTTTACTTGTTTGATTGCAAAAAATTTACCTGGAATTCGTTTTTCAGTCATTACACGCGCCTCTTTTCCTTGCAATCAATGAATTTGTTTTCCTTTTGTTTTGGTGGTTTTTGATTTTCTAGCTTTTGATTTATTTATTTTTTTGCCAATTAAAAAAAATTCTAGACACAATGGTAAAACAATTTTCATGCAAAACAAAGTTAAATAAATGGTATTTGGTATGGTAAATTTTTTTTTGGCAATTGAAACAAATTCTAGATCAAATGGTAAAAAAAATTATCACTTTAATTGACAATTTTCATAAAAACAAAATCAAACGGACACCAAACTTTTAACATTTTTCAGGTAGAAAATTATATCAATCAAACACAATTAATTATAATTCCAAGTAAAACAAATTATAGGCAATTCAATTCCCTGTAATTCATTTTCTTTCCACCCAAATTCTACATTCGCAATTAAACGAACCCTAAATGCAGTATAAATCGAGTAAAAAAATGTTGCGGGGGCAATCGTCACTCGGCCTCAACCTTTATTGGTGCTCAACATCAAAAAGACTTCTAATTATTGTGTATATAGTCTAGCCTTCAAATCTGTGCTTAAAACATTTATAACTTTTTACTTGATGGGCTCAATTGGTCCTTTGAGTGATTTCCATTTAATTGATAGTTAAAAAATGTCAAACTTTTGATATAAAGAAGTGTACTTACTTTAGTTAAGCACCTGTTTGAGTTATATTAAAATTTTTATTTTCATTCTTCTACTCATTTTCAACCACATTCTCCATCAATCTATTATTCCAAAATACATTCTTCCAAAATAATGTGGCTCAAACACACCCTAAATAAATAAAATTACAACCAATTCTGCATTTGAGTCAATTCCTCTGTAATTTGAAGCAAAACATCATCACATTTATGATGGAATATGCTTGAACAATTCTTTTCAGACATTGAGGCTTTAATTGTGGAGAATTAACAATTGAGGACTCAAACTATGATTAAATAAAATAAGTTCTTTATTCATAATTCGACTTCTGTTAAATATTTCAGAAGTAGTGAAACTGGCCGATATAATGGAGAAGTCAGGAGAAAAGAACTTAGAAAAAGAAAACAGGGTTTTAAGCCAGCTTCTTCAGTCCATTCCTATGGACTGGTCATTCTATAATACAAATATACACACACTTAAAAGAACTCGTAAGCACATTCGGCACCCGGGACTAAAGTGTAATAATGAGTCACAAAAAAGTTAAAATCTCGTTCAGTCTGGTCTAATGTCATTTGATGAGTTTGCCAAACACACTATCCATGATCTTTGACACACATTCAAGAAACGCAATTTCACTCATGCCGGGAAGCATGGAATCCTCAGCTTCCCCAACAATTTCCTCGATCAAGGATTTCTTGTTCAATGTTTCTCTGCACATAATACTGCCAATTGCAAAGGGAGAAAGGCCTTTCTCCACCCCTTTTTTCAAAAGCATGGTAGAGACACGGAGAATACGAGCACATTCAGGTGAAAGGTCCCATCCGTATAACTTGAGAAGTGCTATGTCTTGCTCCGCGTCCAGTGATTTTATGTACTCAATGGTTTCCGAGGAAAAAGGCTGGCGGGCTTGTGGCCAGTACAGCCAATCAAATGTGCACTCTTCAAACTGCAAGAAAAATAGAAATGTGCAAATTTCAAAAATATGATTGCAGATACAGTACAAATTGGATCTTTTAAACATTCTCCAGAGATTGCCTTAAAAAATAAACTTAAGAATTTAAATAAGATAAATATTGCAGCATTGATTGAAGCAGACAATCAGCAGTCTTTTTGCATTCAAGAGAATAAACTTCTTCTCCTAGAGTTATCTCGTGAGCCTGCATTCACTTCTGATAACCTAAGCTCAACGATCACTGTGTGACTAAAATTCTTAACATTCATATCTATGTTATCAATAATCGATTTAACATATTAGAACCGGAATTCATGCACTGGATTGGATTGTGTGGTTAAGCACATTGCAGACAAATTACAGAAGAACATGAAAATCTCTACTCTCAAAAGATAAGTAAAAGAAATTATTCTTACACTCTCAGGCAAGCAGTAGCCATGATCAATTGGAATAAGGATGATTCTCCCTTCTTCCCCGTTGTCTTTGCTCCACAGAATATTCCCAGCATGTCTATCTGCATTTGCTGTTCTTATATCAAAGACAATGATCTTATGCACCTCCTCCACAGGAAAATTTTGAGGACCCATATCTTCACAACTTCCAAAATTTTCCTTGAACATCTGCATTGAACCTATCTTAATAGATCCTCTGTGCATGCATTTGACCATTACTGTTGGCAGTACACCAGAAAAGCCAATTTCTCCACTGGACAATGACCTAGGACCTGTCTTCGGATGGTCTAATACGTAAGCTGCAACTTCTCTCAATGCACCTTCTCCAACTCGGGTTCCCCTTTTCAATCCTTCACCATTGGCCGATAAAGGTAGACCATGAGGGTTATTCACAGCCATTGGCTCCTCGTCCGTGGGCTTAAAAATGGCAACGTACTTGTTGCCTGAAACGTCTTGCATGAAATAAGTTCCTCCCATACCCTCCGACGATCTGACTGGTTGTCTTGCTTTTTCCAATCCATCAGATGCCGAGTTAATCATATCCCATACAAATGAAGGGAACTTCACGTTTGGATTAACGATGATTGGTTCCAACAGAGAGTTCTTATCAGGTGGTTTACTAGGTAAGACTTGTAGTTCATCACCTGTCCTCCCGTTTGAGTTTGTAGCCACAATGGAGATTTCAACGTTCTTCTCTACAGGCTTAGCCCAAACTTTTGCAGATTTTTGAACTACCAAATGAATCACAGCATCAGTGTTCTTACTAATATCATCAATTAGCCTCTGATCCTCGAGCTTCTCACCATTACAGAAGAGCTCAGGATCCTCAAGACTGACAAAATCTTTCCCTTTCTTGGCAATCCTACGCTTTAGATGCCCTATGTTCTTATGCCTATCAACATGAAATTCAAATTCTTCCCCACTGGTGGTCCAAACATTGATCAAAAGAAGATCTGAAAGCTTCAAGACCAAGTGCAATACATTCCCATTAGTGACACCATAGTCCTTAACGAGTGAATCATTTCTTGATAACTCTCTGCCTCCAAAAACTAGTTTCTGCCTCTTGACTACAAACCCTCGACATGTCTGAATCCTCAGTTTCACCGATGCAATTGAGTCCGATTCCATCACATGAATGGGAATCAAGGAACCAGAGACAATGATGTATATTACAATTGACTCACTCGGACAAAGGGCCAAACGGCTATCGATATAACCAGCCGACCTCAATGTCTCTTCGCTAAAGGGATTCAAAGCAACATCAACAGCAGACATTGTTAATTAAATTTGTAATTTGTACCACCTTCTTGATAATATAGGACCCCTCTCTCTCTCTCTGGTTACCAAACCACAGCTTTCAATTATTACCTTCCCCTATCTTGAAATTTCGATAGAGGCAAACACATTAAAAAAAAAAAAATGGTCCCAGGCCTACAGATCTAATGGAAATATCCCAGTTACATGAGACTGAAAAATGGAAATATAAAATGCAATACTCAAGAAAAACAAACCGATAAGAAACAAAATATCAGGAACCAGTCCAAGATTGATTTTATTGTAATTCAAAAATCCGAAATTCTGAATAGGAAAAATCCCAGAAAATTAATTCCCCAAAAAATCCAAAACAAAATATGAAAATCACAATGAGAGAGACAATGGGCTGTAAAGTTCTTTCAAAAAATCGGGGTGGATTGGATTCTTAGCAAAGGGAAGAAGAATCAAAAGCTAAGTGGGTGTCTGAAACTGAGCTTATATGTGGAAAAAAAAACGGAATTAATTATTTTCCATTTTTCAAACGGCTTTTTTGGATAAAAGTGGCGTTTTTGAGATAAAATGAGGATCCAGGGTTGAGAGGAACACCGAATTTTCCGGCCATTTTTGAATTCTCCGGTAAAAATGTCGACAAAGAAGAAGAGAGCGGAATTATAGCCGTTAGGTTTGCTACATGATTTTGACTCGATGACTTTAAACGTGTAATGTTCGGAGTAACAATACATGTTAACGGTCTTTAACTTTAAATCGTATGTTGGAAATTTGTCAGTAATGCCAATAATATTATATTTTAGTCTGTCCATATTATTTAAATTTTTTAGTAATGATTAAATTTACATTCGTCACCCTTAGATGCTATTTACATTTTGCGTGATGCTACACATATATAATGGGGTGTTCATAACGGTGTCCACTTCCTCACATGGAGGGTAACCCACTTCGAATAAAATACAATATATCCAAAGTGGGTCTCCTTCCATGTGAGGGTGTGGACACCGTTATGGACATAACATTATGTACAAGTAGCATATTCCTTACATTTTACATAGAATGGGAATACAAAAATGTGGCATTGACAAGATTTGGATGGGATTCTACTTCCTTTTGAGATTCAATCGAATTATGTCGTAAATGTAAAATTGGCCAGCAATCTAAACCGTCGTGTATTTTTAAGTAATTATGTAGCAATTGTAAATTTTGAAATGAAAGAGCGTTTTTAAATGACAATTCATGTAATGGAGTATATTTAGAGCTCTATTTTTCCTTTATTTAAAGAATTTGGAACAACAACGTGAATGTTACGACTTATGTACCTACAAATGGCGGCTAATGGAGGATTGAGATGTTAGGTAAGTTGGACAATAGAGTGACTAACATTAAAATAAATTGAAATGAGCGATCTAAATGGGTCAAATTGAAAATTGAGTGACCTAAATGAAATTTCATGGAAAGTTCAATAACCAATAATGAAATTGACCCACGCCTTTTCAGAATTTCTTTATTTTTAATTTTTGAAAGCTCACCCTTTCCCATCGAAACGAAACAAACATAGATCACTGACCTAACAAAGTTTTGCACGTACCACTTGAACGATCTTCCTTTTCCAAAATTTATTCTCAATTTTTAAAAGATTATGCTGCTCATGCATAAAAATGGTACATAGAGAATTACATAAAACGATGTTGAGAGAAAAGATTGGATGAAAAAGTTGATTGTGTTTTAAACTGGCAAATGGTAGGTGCCATGTGACATTATATAATTCTTTATGTAAATGTAGCGAGATCAATTTTGAAATATGATAAATTTAGTAAATTACTACGACTTGTGCAATTATGTACATTGTTGTCATTGTTTGAGTCTCATTATTTAAAAAATTATTTTTTCTTAAACTCATTTTAAATTATACATTCTTTCGATAAAATAATTTTACATATCAACTTAAATTTTTTTCCCATTTTTTAACCATATATTCTTCACAAAAAAATTATTATTACAAAATCTATTATCCCAAAAAATGGGGCTCAAACAAAGCAAATACGTAATAATGAATATGAAACTTTATTATTTATTAGATAATACAATTTCTGCTTAATTGAGAAGTTAATCTCGACTCTTATTCATTTATTGATAACAAGAGGACAAAGAATGTGATGGCCAAATGTCTAAAATTATATCTAGTAATTTTCCATTTGTACAATGATTAATCAGTGGGACCCACCATAATGTGAGAGTGTTGTAAAAATTACAATACCCTAATCATTGTACATATAACATGATTGTTATATCTAGCTCCTGTTTGATAACCTTTCTTTCAAAATTCTTTTTTTTTCTCATACTTATTTTCAACTATACATTTTCATAATAAAATATTCTCCACGTAAATCTAAATTTTTTTACTACTTTTAAATCACACATTTTCTAAAAAATTGTTATTCAAAAACACATTCTTCCCAAAAAAATGGCTATCAAACGAGGTGCTTACATGTGTTTGAAAATTGTTTATAATTGGTTTAAATTGTAAATATATAAAAATAAATTGTGAATATATGAAAGTAATTGTGAGTGTCACAAACAATCTTGCTATATGTGCACCTCTCTTTACATTTTGACTTATCCAATTTATGCTTGATACAATCTCATACCACTTTTCACATCTCACATATTTAATCTAACTATTATAATCATTGAATGAAGATATCTATCATTACGATAATGGAATATCAGTGATGTGACAATTTATATAAAATAATGAGATTAAGCAGTTCAATTTTTATGAAATAAAGGGAGAGAGAGACAGAGCAATGTGAATGATAATGGACTGTCACATCACCGATATTCAATCATCGTGATAATACATAACATTGCTCATAATTATTTAATAGATTGTAAACAAATGTCAAACACACACTCTCGTTTAGGCCCGTGCAAAAAAAAAATCGAAAACCCGATTAAATTAATTTTATGTATATATAATCAGGTTGGGTCGGTTAACAGTTGGGTTGGAGCCTTAACCCATAACCATCCCAACCCCTCATTTTAGTGGTTTATGAGATTAAAGTCTAGCTTAAAATCCAATTAAAATTGAAAATATAGTCGTTATTGGGTCTTCACTTGCCTAATAAAAGTCAACAATAACGGCTAGTTTTTCAATTTTAATCTTTACCGAACAATCGGTTAATATTAAAAATACATTCAATAATATTTTCATCTTCTCTGTGGTTCCAAAAAGGTAAAAAGTGAAAACTATCAAAATCTAATTGCCTCCATAGTTTGAAACTGGTGTCCTTGCCTCTACCGCCTCCTTTATTGACTATCTCTCCATTTATTGAGTACATATTCTTGACGTACTACAGTACTAGAGGTTCGAAAGTTCGACTGGAGACATTTGATTTAGTCAAGTGTAGAAATAATTGTTAAATTAATTCCTTGTATTTCATTAATTTTTATGTTCATTTTTTAAAATTTTTCTTGGCTTAATTTTCTTTATTGTCCACAATAACATATTTTCTTGACATCACAAGTGTGTGATTATGGCTTTTTGAGTTCATCTTGTTGGCTGCTGCACCTAGTTTGCCCATTGAGCCCAATTGAAGATTATTGTAGAGCAAATTAAATAAGACACTCATAAATTATGAGGCTAAAATTCTCAAATTTTGTACCGTGCACGAATTAAATTGCGTGTGGTACAGGAGAAAAAACATTGTAAAATGGTTTAGACTTCACATATTGAAATTGAAATTTGATTAAAAAAACATATTGACCACACAAACGTTTTCTTAATGTCTTTGAGACTAGCAGCCTTAATTTATGGGTACCCAGAAAGTTAGGTCAGAGAAATTTGATTAAAAAACATTTTACTCTTTTGGACCATTTTTCTTTTTCCTAAGTTTTTAGGATATGTGTATCCTTTTTTATTGCTTGTGAAATTTGTTGATGCATTATTTACACTTTTCTATAATTGTACACTTTTTTCAATTCAGGATATATTGCTGACTTTGCTCTCTTCTCCATTTCCGGAATTTTAGTACAAGGTAAATGCTTCAACAGTAGTGAACAATAGTTACAACTTTTCTTGTCAAATTAAAAAACATTTAACTATTTTGTACCATTAAGACCATATACATTTATGTGAAAAATACTTGCACGTGCAACTTTTCTTGTCGAATTAATGTTTTGTGAGCTCTCTTTTGATTTGACATATTGAAAAGTGAAAAGGTTTAGAATTCACAGAAAATTAAAGTCAATTAAAATGGAAACATCTTTTATATCTAAGTGGTGAAATATGTGATATAGATGAAAGCAGAGATCAAGTTCTTGTCTAATCATGGAAATAATGTTGCGTTTTTTTTAATGATTTCAATAACGAACGGATGAATAACTTCTTCTTTTGATTGCTCGTCAAAGTTTTGTTCTGAAGCTACTTTTGTTTTCTCCATTTAATTTTATTCCTTATGATTAATATACATGCATACTTTTTACAGATTTGAATATGGATATTGACGATGAATGTCAATATGTCGGTGGAACCCCAGCAACAAAAATGCAAGTACAAATGCTGCAACTCGTCCTCCACTTCCACTATCATGTTTAGGAAATAGAAAAAGTAGTAGGAAAACATTAGATGTTTGGGATCATTTCACATAATGGGAGACCCAAAAGCGAAAGATGTTAAGTGTGAGTGCAAATATTGTGGACAGTCTTATGCTTGTGGAGCTAAGAAGTGCTGGACAAGTATTTTGAGGACTCATTTGATTAAACATTGTAAGAAGTATCCTGGGCGGGTGGAAGATAAAAGGAAAATAATCTTAAAGTTTTGATAAACAATATGAGGGGGATGGGACCAATCTTCTTGCTATTAGGTTTAGTAAGGAAGCATGTAGAAGTTCATGTGCTAAAATGGTAGTTATCGATGAACTACCTTTTAGATTTGTCGAAGGGATTGGATTTAGACAATTTTGTAGTGTAGCATGTCCTAAGTTTCATCCTCCATCTCGTAGGACCGTTGTTAGAGATATTCACCAATTATATTTGAATGCAAAATTAGAGTTGAGAAAGAACCTCACTACTCAACGTCAAAGAATGTCCCTTACTACGGACACTTGGACATCCATTCAGAATATAAATTATATGTCTCTTATAGCCCACTATGTTGACTCTAACTGGATGCTTCAAGAAAGAATTTTGAACTTTTGTGTGATACCTAATCACAAAGGTGAAACTATTGATAATGTTATTAAAAGTTGTTTACATGAATGGGGCCTTGATAACGTGTTTACAATCACAGTGGACAATGCTAATGCAAATAAAACGGCTATTACATATCTTAGGAGGAAGATGATTGGTTGGGGCAATGATGGGTGTGTTTTAGATGGCAAATATTTGCACATGAGGTGTTGTGCACATATTATTAACTTAATAGTGTGTAAGAGGTTGAAGGAAGCACATGATTCAATAGTCAGCATTCACAATGCAGTGAAGTATATGAAATCTTTACCGGCTAGTTATGAAAAATTGAAGGAGTGTGCAACTAAAGAAAAAATTGAATCAAAATTACTTGTAATTCTGGATGTGCTTGCGAGGTGAAATTCCACCTATTTGATGTTGGAAGCCGCTTTGAAGTACCAAAAAGCTTTTGAATGCTTAGAATAAGAGGATGGACAGTACTTATGCTATTTTCAAGATGATGATGGTGGACGAAGAAGGGGTAGACCTCCTTTATTAAGTGATTGGGAAAATGCCTCAGTTTTTGTAAAATTCCTTAAAAGCTTTTATGATGCGACTTTAAAATCTAGTACTTCATTACATGTTAGTTCCACGATTTATCTTCATGAAGTATGTTCACTTGTAGCAGATTTGGAAGATTGGATTTCAACTGAAAATTATCTTTTAGGTGAAATGGCTAATAACATGAAGCGAAAATTTGACAAGTACTGGGAGAACATGGACAATGTCAACTAAATGTTATTGATTGCTACCGTACTTGATCCAAGATATAAATTAGATTATGTTCAGTATTGTTTTTGTGATATTTATAAGGATAAGGAAGTATTTTTTTGTGATATTTAGATGGTGCTTTCAGTACGGGAGGAAGAATTTTAGATCCCTTTCATAGTTCTTTGACTGCTGGATGGTCGAGGTTTTAGTTTTGACCCAAAATTGGCTCAAATCTACTCCAAGCGAGGACAAATTTTACATGAAGGATGTGAAGTATTATAACAAATTGGATGAAGGTAATTAATTATTTCATTTGGTTTGATAATTATATTTGTTTCAATTTCATTTTGTGTTAATTCAATCATTTTTTTAGAGCTTTCAGAACCAACAAAGACTAATGTAGGCTCTAGTAGCAAGGATTAATAATTCATGCTATCTCAACTTTTCAAGTAGGTGATTTACGTTACAACTTGTGGCTTTTTGTAACATACCTATTGATTTTAATTCCTTAATCAAATTTTTTTTTGTTATCCCTTTCTATCATTGATTAAAAGAGGAGTTTTACACATGTTAGTTGAAGGTATCTTTATTTTTGTTGCATCACATTTGATACTAGCTTTATAATGGGTGCAAAATCTGGTTTATTACTTTGAGTAAAATTGTGTGTTAACAACATGTTAAGAATTTGCTTTATTTATAGCTTACAGGTTTTGGATTTGTGTTAATTGCAAAATTGTGTATTAATAGCATGTCATGGATTTATGTTTAAAAAAATGATTAGGTGTACTCAAATTGGGTCGAAAAGCTTTAAATTTTCTTTTTCGTTTAAATTCATTTTAGGCCAAAGACAAAACCGACTAACCAAATCGAACTGATCTAAACTGATTTGGTTTGGGTTGATTTGGTTTAAAAGATTGACCGTGTCGGTTTTGGGTTGAAATTTATTCAAAGCGACTTAGTTGATTTTGGTTTCAGGTTGGGGTTGGGGTTGAAACCGACCCAACCCGAACCGTTCAAAGGCCTACTCTCGTTATAGAAGACTTTGATATTTACATGATACCCAAAACTTAAAATAATTCTATTTTCAGTGACTAATATCCCTTTAGTAACTAAAAACTGAAAAAAAAAAATGGCTTCTAACCCTTAGCCGTTAAAATTATAATACATTTTTCTCTCTACTTTTTTCAATCAAATTTTTCAATAAAATAATATTTTACGTAAATCAAAAACTTTACATTCTTTTTCAACAATCCATTGTCCAAAAAAATATGATTCTAGGAATTATAATTACAAATAATGAGGGCCAAATGGGGGCAAAATAACAAAAATAATAAAAATAATTATGTCATGTAAATTGTAGATAATTGTAAATTATCCATTCTCTTTAGCAGCACCTTCAATGCAATTGTAGATAATTTTAAAAAATATGTCATGTAAATAAAATAGACAAGGTTTAAAAATATTTTTTTTCAATACAAGTTGATAAGAAGTTAAGAACTCTGTCAAGATAACATGAAAATAAAAAAAATAAAAAATATTTGCCCCCAGTGCACATCTCCAAGTGGTAAAGGGGGAATGTGGAAAAACTCCAACTTTACTTGAAGCTGCCGCGTCAAGGGTTTGAATCCTGAAATATAGATTTAGCCATTGAATAAGTGTAAGTGTACAAGCAGCCTTCCACCATATACCCTTGGAGGCATAACCTGTGATTTACCTCATTCACCAAAACTCAGGGCAGGTGGGGGCCGTCAAGGATGCGGCTCATTCTTTAAAAAATAAAAAATATTTAAAGTTTAGTCTAAATTGAGAAACGGAATGACTACAAATTTTCCTAACTTCTAATTATGAGCCATCGTCTCGTACTCACAATATATGAAAATAATAACCGATACAGAATTACTCTTTTAACCTTGCTCCCCAAGTCTCTATATTTCCAACCTTAAGGATATTTCTGGATTCTCATTTTATTTCAACCGTCCTGTCTCACGAGCCCGCCATTTACACATTCACAACCCCCCTCTCTCTCACACACACACATCCATGGACTCTTCAGCTATCTACATTCTCTTGATTCTCATCCCAATCTTCTTCCTTAAACTCTCGTTATCCCTTGAATTCCCTGAAGAACTCATCGATGAAATCCATCTGGTTCCCATCAACGATGGCCCCATTTCATCCCCTCCTGAATCTGCAACAGTTGCATTTCCTCCAAGTCCAACATTATTTTCTCCTCCTCTTGTTCCTGCGTTGTTCGTATTAGGAGACTCTACTGTTGACTGTGGAACGAACAACTTTCTTGGAACTTTTGCCCGAGCCGATAGGCTTCCGTATGGTAGAGATTTCGATACTCATCATCCCACTGGACGCTTCTGCAATGGAAGAATCCCTGTTGACTATCTTGGTAACATAATCTTGAATACATGTCTTCAATTCTTGAATATTTATTGAGCTGGCTACTTGCACTTGTTAAACGTATGAAAGAATAATGATTTTGGGGTTCTTGTGCATTCTTGATTTTAGTCTTTATTGTTTTCTTATGTGCTTAAATGGTAATTTGGGGTCCTTGTAATGAGTTGGAATTTTGAAATTTTAGCAGTAGAAGGATATTACTGGGACATTACTACTTGAATTTCCATCTTACATTTTATCTACTAATTTGAATTTTTCGGGTTTGGATAATCTTTCGGTGGATAAAGATGTTTGTCGGATAGTAATTCTTGATTTTCATGTTCCTTTTTGTTCTCATTGATTTCAGCATTGCGTCTTGGATTGCCTTTTGTGCCGAGTTATCTTGGACTGACGGGTTCTATTGAAGATATGATTCAAGGAGTGAATTATGCATCTGCTGGTGCCGGAATCATATTCTCCAGTGGCTCTGAACTGGTAAAGCATAAAAACGTGAAATGGTAAATAATGATGATTCATTTGTGCAAAATCATTCACTTGTTTCGACAATTTTTGCAGGGTCAACGTATCTCCTTTGCGCAGCAAATTCAACAGGTTATGGACACATTTCAACAGTTTATTCTGAGTATGGGTGAGGATGAAGCATATGATCTTATCTCAAACTCGGTATTCTACATTTCAGTTGGAACAAACGATTATATTCACTACTACCTTCGCAATGTATCTAGCGTGCAATCTCTGTACCTCCCATGGAGTTTCAACCAATATTTAGCCCATATTATGAAGCTGGAGATTAAGGTGATCCTTTTATATATCACTGTCGTCTTCTCTGTTTGCACATTCATCAAAATCCTTTTCTAAAAGGATCATGCCTTCCTCATATATTTATTTTTGTATCTACATAGAACTTTAGCCATGTTAAACCCTTATGCAAGCATCATGTCACAAACTGCGTATATTATTAGTTTTCACAATTATTATTATTACTGGATGATTAAGGTAAATGAATGAAAAGGAGAAGGATAACTTAGGTGCTCATCTTTTATTTCAGTTGCTTTCTCATGTCTTAAATTTTTCAGTTTGTTCTTTATTTTCTTATATGTACTCTTGCAGTTCTTCTTATAAACTTTCCATATAACTATATGTTAAAAGCCTTTCTAAGTTGTCAATTTGATGATTTGCTTTTATATTTACAATCATCTGAACAAAATGTGAAGGTAGAGTACTATATGCTTTCTTCTGAGGCGTACTCTTGTGCTGATCGTGCAGAACTTGTACAATGCTAATGTGAGAAATGTGGTTGTCATGGGACTAGCCCCAATTGGCTGTGCTCCTTATTACTTGTGGCTACATAATAGAAAGGATGGACAGTGTGTTGAGAAGATAAATAACATGTTACTGGAATTCAACTTTGCAATGAGATTCACAGTCGAGGAACTTACTAAGGAGCTCCCGGATGCTAACATAATCTTTTGTGATGCATTTGAAGGTTCTATGGACATAATGAAGAATAATGACCGTTATGGTGAGATCATTGGTTGAATTCTTTTTTGTATTTCATTAGAGATGTACCAATACCATTCTGACTCATGCTTTCATTTCCAGGTTTTAATGTCATTGATGATGCTTGCTGTGGATTAGGCAGGCATAGGGGTTCGATTATGTGCATTTCTCCCGATATGGCTTGCAATAACACTAGCAACCATATCTGGTGGGACCAATTTCATCCGACGGATGCTGTAAATGCAATCTTGGCTGACAATGTCTGGTCTGGCCTGCATACGAGAATGTGCTATCCCATGAATTTGGAAGACATGATATCTCAAAATGCTAAATGATTCCCCCAGGAGGTGCAGTACCCCGTACAAGTTAAGGTACTAACAATTTCCACACTGATTGCAGATAGCACAGGAATGATACAATTGGCAAATAAAAACACTATATAGATCTTTTCTTCCTTGAAATTTGTATATATCAAAGAAATATTGTTTACGATAATATGCCTTGTTCCGTGGGAAAATTTGTTGCAAATTTTCATTATCAATAGCACTACTTAGCAATTTCATCTCTAGCCTTTAATAGGAAATGTAGTTCTTATGTCCCTGCACAGTGAAATGCTCAATCAGTTAGGATTGTTTGTTACAGATTATTGTACAACACAATCCACATACTTTTAACTACAATTTATTGGGGTATATCTTTGTTCTCTGGAACAGTTCTGCTTGACTTTGTTAGAGAATTCTTTCTATTGAAACCAAAAGCACACATCGTCCAAAATTTAAAAAAAATATGTTGGAGAGTAAGAGAAAATTACTTCAAGTTTGGAATTGTCATGTTCTTTAACAAGGACAGGTTCCGAATAGAAAAATATTCTTACTCTTCTATGTCGATCTTCCCATCTCTTCCAGAATCTGCTTCCTCAAATGTCTTTGCATAAATGGATCGAGAATTCTAATTAGCTTTGAAATTATCTTAACATTGAAAAATGTTTCGTGCAACCGAACCTTATCAATAATGCTTCCACAAAGTCATCAGAAATGATAAAACTCGACTCTTCGAGCAGCTCTGTAATCATCTCCTTCACCTTGCACCAAAGGGAAAATATCCTCGATAAAATTCTCTTTCATTTTATGGCATTTAGAACATGTTTTGTGAATAATGGAAAACTAACAGGTTGGATCTTCTCTTTTGATGAAGCCAGTCTGCCATATGTAACTGTAATATCAGAAACAAAAGATTTATAGTATACTCGTGCCTCATCATGCTTTTATGCATTCGCATTAATTTGAGAAACAATAGAGAGAGATTTTATCCTTGCAAATGGATTTCTCTACTTGAGGAGTGTCTGGGTGGAATTTGCTCAAAGATCTGATGAACTCTCCAAAATCTATTACCCCATCGTTAATGGATTCAAATAGATTGAACATCTGCGGAAGCAGAAGTTGTGATAAGAAAATGTAATCCACAAACAACAGAAATATAAAACAAATATAAAATCAAGAATTAGACTTAATATTAGTTGTCTGACCCTATCTGTTAAAAGAGGCTGCTCATTGCTGTTCCTGAACAATCCAAGTTGAAATTCCTCCAGTAAATATAAAGTTAAGTTCACAATATAGATTTAACGTGTAAGAAAAATAACGATATTAATTCAAACTGAAGAACCACTACTATTGATTTATATGCATTGCTATTCTAAACTGCATATAAAATTTTAGAACGAATAGTTAGAGAGACGGTTACTCTGCTAATTAAACCATCATCAACCACAGAGCAGCTCAATTTCCTGAATAATTCGTTCAATGCTTTGATTTCTTTGACAGTAACTGCAGCCATGGAAGCATAAAAGAATAAAGACGGAAAAATGTTCGGTTCTTCATCATAACACATTAATAGGGAAATTTTACAAAATGTATTCAAAATATAGGCATACATTTTGTCTGTGTTGCAAGAATTTAAAGGTGTCCAAAAGTCCCGAACCGAACCGGACCGAACCAAACTGAATCGAATCGAGCGGTTCTTCATAAATTAAATACCCGAATGGGTACCCGAATCAAGAACCGATCGGTTTGGGTCGAGTCTCGGGTGTAGACCAAGAACCGAAACTAAATAATTTTTTTTTATTTTTTATATTGAATTAATTAAATTATTTTATTTTTTTCTATGGAAATTAGCAAATTAATTAAATAAATCAAATTATTTCATAATTTTAATTTTAAAACCCAAATCATTTTTAAAACTCATTAGCCCATTTTAATTTGAAGCAAATGAATATACTTTATGTAGTTTTGCTGTAATATTAATATCTATTTTTTGGTATTTGTACGCATTGAATTAATCTTATTGGACGGCTAGTTATTTATATGTTTTTGAATTGGGCTACGTTAATTTGTAAAAGTTACGAATGAAATATCATTAGTTGTATTTATGTAGTGTTGTTTTAAATATTAAAAATTTTGATTATGGTACGGAATCGAACCGAATCGAACCGAACTGAACTGAACGGAATCGAACCCGAACGGTTCCATAATTATATTTGGACCCGACGGGTCCATTTATTAAATACCCAAAAATTTTGGGTCGGTTCGGGTCTCTTCAAACCAGAACCGAACCGAACCGACTCACGGACAGCCCTAACAAGAATGGATGGATATTCTTATGCAAGTCTTTGCTGTTAGCATAATGTATTTATGTTATTTTATATTGTTAAGAGGTCGGAAGTTTTACTTGTTTGGTTAGGGAAGTTTTCTCATTTTGCTATTTGACTATTCAAACTCTTGCAATCATACTCTTGTATTAACATTTGCTCATTTGGTGCATGGAACCCTCCCCTCCCCTTTCATCTCTTCTCTTCTCTTCTCTTCCATCTTGCTTGCATTCATAAAATTCACATGGTATCAGAACTTTAATCCATATGAATACATTGTTTTATAATGTGAATGAAGGAGTATCGATATTATCTACAACTCTCGCGGATTTGACTTTGCATTGAGTTGGTTGGGGGGTTACAGGGGCAATGCACCCTCTTTGGGGTTCTGGGCGAAGTTTTGAAAAATGTTCGGTTCGGAATTGATATCTGATTGGGCTTTCGTATCAGTTTGAGATATTATTGTGTTGTTTGTTCGTTGTTGGTTGAACTTTTATGATGACGGGTGCAAAGGATGATCCGCTTCAGTAGATTAATACGAGATTAGATGGAAAAATTATTCATATTGTAGTGTTGTGATGGATTTTTTAAATGGTAAACTAAGGTGTGATTATGTAACTAGCATTGAGACCAAATCTAAGCTCGATGAACATGAAGATGACAAATTTGTGGAAATGCTTTGTACTTGGGACACGAACAATGCCAAAATTACGACTTGGATATTCAATTCTGATTAACACTCTAATAGTGTACAGTTAGTGAAATATGAAACAACTAAGGAAATTTTGGAACATTTGGCACGATTGTTTACAAAGTCTAATTTTTCTATGGAATATCAATTGGAAGTTGATATTTGGGCACTAGAGAAAAAACTAGCTAGAGTTCAATTTGTATTGCACGTTATTTTGAAATACTTCACAAGTGTTGTACAAATAATATTTGATACTAATTTGTTGGGAAGATTTGATGAGTTTTAAACGAACGGTAGAAAATAAAATTTAGGGTATAAATTTAAGAAAATAAAATTGTATTATCAAAACTCAACTTCTATGATTCAGATTTTTGGTAATGATAAAATACTACAAATGTGCAACATTTTTATATTACATTTGGTACATAAGAATTAATTGCTAATACATGAATTTAAAAACCTATTAAGATTCTAGATACATAAATAAAAATAAATGCATCTATAATAATTCTAGATTAATGTATATCAAGATACATCAAGTCAAGATTCATTAAACCTAGATTAATGTGAATGTCAATTGATTGAGAATTAATAATATGAAATTCATACATGACAATGATTTTGTAGTATTTATTACATAGTAAAAAATGAAAAGTAAGGTATTATTAAAATAATTGAAATGTAATAATGTTAAAATCGTCCAAAAAATATTCTCACTTGAAATAATATATAATAAATTAATGTTATTTTGCAATGACCAACTTTTGGAATCTCTCTCTGTGGAGGTCTATAAGGTTAGTTGTAAAAAAGTAAGAAGGATTTGCAAATATCTCTGCTATGGATTTCGATTTGAAATTTTGCATTAACTTTTATTTTATTTTTTTAACGTGGTAATATAAAAATAAAAATTTGCCCTCTTTGAAATAAAAGAAAATGTGATCAAACTGAATTTTCTGGTCAGTTAAAAGAAAAATGATGGCTTATATCCATTTGTCCTCTAGTCGCATGCACTTGAAATATTTGTATTGAATTGAAGAAGATTGAATTGCATTGAAAATGTGTAAAAAATCTATATGTTCAAGTACATTACAATTGTCTATAAATATAAAGCAAGAATTGAACTAACTAACTCATATTTACACTAATACAATGATGACATGTGCGATCAACTTCCATAGCTAACTAACTGAATTGAGCTGGATGAAGTTGTTACAAGATGAGCTGGAGCTGGATCACTACACGATGAGTTGGAGCAAGCTGGAGCATGATTAGTATTTTGTTACTCTCCCTCAAGATGGAAAATGAGGATTGATGACAGCCATCTTGAACAATAAAGGGAATAATGAATTTGCAGGAAGAGGTTTATTTGCCAACTGATGCTGTGTTCGAACTGGAAGCAACTTGACAAATCCATCATTTATCTTATCTCGAATGAAGTGACAGTCTATTTCAATGTGCTTGGTTCACTCATGGAAAATTAAATTACTTGCAATGTGTATGGCAGATTGGTTGTTACAAGAAATGAGCCTAGGAGTGTTGACTGAAATCTGAAAGTCTTGCAACAATGATGGATCCAGACGAGCTCATTGGTTGTAGAGGCTAAAGCACGATATTCAGCTTCTACTGATGATCGTGAAATTGTGCTTTGTTTCTTGGCTTTCTAAGAAACCATGGAATCACCAAGAAAGACAAAACCGTGTTACAGATATTCTGGTATCAAAGCAAGCACCCCAATCAGCTTCCTCAAATTCACAAAGTTGAAATGAAGAGGAAGATGAAAACAAAATTCCCTATCCTGGAATAGCTTTGAGATATTGCAGAAGTTGGTGAACTGCATTTAATTGTGGTTATCTAGGCTGGGCAACAAATTGGATCAACTTATGGACAACAAATGTAATGTCTTGTCTGGAAATAGTCAAGTATAGAAGACGACCAATGAGCCTTCTATATAGTAAAGCATCTACAAGGGGATTCCCCGCAAATGCACAAAGTTTAGCCTT